TTGCATCCAACCAGATCCACCAATATCCGTCCATGTCCGCTGCCGCTCTCCATGTCGCGCAGCATCCATCTTGCAGCGCGTCCCACGTTGATTGCTACACTTCCGCGACGCGGTCGATACTTGTATCAGAGCGGCGATATTTGCGTCAATTAACGAACGTTTTACGTTGTTACCGGTGGAAACTTTTTGCGCGCTATGAAACAGACTCTATAAACTTGATCGGCGAGGAGCAAGAACCGTGTGATTTATCGTCTAACGGATTTTTACGGCGCTTTTCGCGATCGTGTCTGAAAAGTCGCGAAAATGTCAGAGTATCGGTATCTACGAGTGAAATATTCGCGACGCGAATGCACGCGAGGAAAGATTAGACAATTAGAAACCCCGAGGGGTCGCCCCGAGGGAGCGCAAAGATAGAGGAGCGGGGCAAAGTTTTCACGCATCGTCCGCATTCACGCATAGCTCCGTCACGACGAAGTTTACTTCGTTCGCGATACTTTGGCGAAATGAGAATTTAAGCTTTCTTTGTTAGCAGCGCGGGTAAAAACGCGTTTTTTGATAACCGCGGTCGCGATATTCAAAGGCACGCGAGCGAGGATACCTCAAGCTCGGCGTGCGCTGGCGCAATTTCTGCGCGCATTATACGCTACTCGAGACAATAGGGATCGTGATGAATGAACAATATTGCCAAATAATTCTACAGCCTGTTTTGTAAATAAAAGAAAAGTAGCCAACAGTATCGGCATTTATGCGTATGAATATATTTTACACGAACAATTGAATATTGTCTAATAATTAAATCGTTAAATAATTCTGCGGCCCGCTTGAAAAATAAAAATAAAGCAGCTGATGACGGTGGTAGCGCGTTTATACATATGAATATCTCTTATTCAGATGACTGAACATCAAAAGAGAATCATTCAGTATTTTAAATCTTGTATGTAATACAGGCTGTCGATCAAGTATCCCCTGATTGTTTCGAGCAATGTATTTTATTCAACGTCACAAACACATACATGCAAGAATCTATTTGCAATTTGCATTGACTCGAACGATATTTTTTAGTCCCACATCCATCATGCAGAATTTTGTTTCTCTTTTTATTTTGACTCACCGAAACGACTTGCAGTCAGAGCCGGCCATGTTCCGCTTTAACTCTGTAACAAAAAATTCACATTCGTTCATTAAATTTGACCAACGAGTGCGGGCGAGTAAAAAAGTAATTTACCCTCTGCGATCTTAATTCAAGTCGAGTCGGAAATTATATCCCAGCTCTAGATCGCCAAGGGTCAAACAGAGGACTATAGTAAACTTGTAAACTTACCTTCAAGCCGACTCTGCTTGGCCCGAATCGGATCCTCCGATGCGGCATCCCGCGTCCGCCGGATTGCTGTTGCTTTCCGCAACAACTGAAACAGAAAAATCATTTTCCCGGTTAATAACCTGCGGTAGAGAGAGAATATCTTTGATCAGAACGAATCGAAAATACGGAAATATTTTGATAAGGAATTTTTATCTTTATATTTTTGTTCCAACATTGAAAATTTAAATGAGACTTGAAGCTTTCAAGAGAGCTGATGAGGAACAAGATGCAAAGGCAAAGATCATAAAGAGTTGAACAGATGTGTAGGAAAAACTTGTAAACTTTACCTTCCGACCGACTCTGTTTGGCCCGAACCGGATCCTCCGGTACGGCATCCGCGTCTGCCAGATTGTTGTTACTTTCCGCAACAACTGAAACAGAAAAATAATTTTCCCGATTGATAACCTGCAGTAGAGAGAGAATATCTTTGATCGGGACGAATCGAAAATACGAAAATATTTTGATAAGGAATTTTTATCTTTATATTTTTGTTCGGACATTGAAAATTTAAATGAGACTTAAAGCTTTCAAGAGAGCTGATGAGGACCAAGTTGCAAAGGCAAAGATCGTAAAGGGTTGAATACAGATGTGTAGGAAACTTGTAAACTTTACCTTCCGACCGACTCTGCTTGACCCGAACCGGATCCTCCGGTACAGCATCCGCATCTGCCGGATTGTTGTTACTTTCCGCAACAACTGAAACAGAAAAGTAGTTTTCCCAGTTGATAATCTGCGGTAGAGAGAGAATATCTTTGATCGAGACGAAACGAAAATACGGAAATATTGTGATGTGGGATTTTTATCTTTATATTTTTGTTCCAACATTGAAAATATAAATGAGACTTAAAGCTTTCAAGAGAGCTGATGAGGAACAAGTTGCAAAGGCAAAGATTGTAAAGAGTTGAACATAGATGTGTAGGAAACTTGTAAATTTTACCTTCCGGCCGATTCTGCTCTGCCCGAACCGGATCCTCCGGTGCGGCATCCGCGTCCGCCAGATTTGCTTCCCGCAACGTCTGGAGCAAAAATTTAGCGTTTCTGGTTGGTAAGCTGCGGTAGAGAAAGAATGTTTGGTCGGGATGAGTGGAGAATATTCGCTACGGTTTTTTTCTTTATTGACATTGAAAGTCTAGATAGAACTTGGAGCTCTTGAAAGAGCTGACGAAAAAAAATTACAACAAGAAGCGGAGACAACAGTTGTGTGCTCTCGAAAATACTCTTTTACGAATGGACATTTAAATTTAGATCCCGTAACGAAAGTAAACAGACTTGAAAGAAGCACTGACCGAAAACAAAAAAAGTCGCAGTCTAAGAAGAGCGATATGATATTGAATATTCTACACAAGACCGGTATATTCACACAGTTAGGAATTATTCAGAATGTTTAATTGAGAACATGATGAATTAGAGATCCACGTTCATGGACCGTTATCCGTCTCTGTCTGGATCAATATATCTTGTATATGCTACGGTTAAAGTGATAAATTGGTTATTATGCATAATAACTAACAGCTTTGGTTAATGTGATAAAATACATGCAGTTTATTCCAGTTACTATAACCGATTATTTTACATAACCAAACTTTATTGGTTAAAGTGATAAATGATATTTAGAAAATGATTTTGGAGAAACTTTTGAAAACCATTTATGTCCAATTGTCGTGAATATTGGCAGAAATACTCCAAACGATATCAAAATGTTACAAAGTTATGAACAATTAAACCTACGCGTAAGTTGCAAGTGCGTTTTGCATCGCGCGCTGCGCGCACGATTGTTGAAATCTACGCGTAAGTTAAAAGTGCGTAAGCTGCACGCACGGTTATTAAAACTTACGTGTAATTGGGCACGCATAGCGCGCGATACAAAACGCATTTGCAACTTACGTGTGGGTTTTAATAACCGTGTGTGCAGCAGCTTACGCGCTTTTAATTTACGCGTGGGTTTTAATTACAAAAATATGAATAATTTATCAAATTAATCAAAGCTATTGGTTATTATGCATAATAACCGGTTATTATGCATAGTAACTGGATTTATCACTTTAACCGTAACATATACAACAACGCAATAAATAGATAGACAGAGATTGACGAGAGTAATTGCAGATTCATAAAGTGTCTATGATTACTAGTCGGATGATGACGGATCGTGAATGCCGAGCGCGAAATTCCGACTTCTTATTCCCGGAAAATTCGTCAAACGTCCGCTCTCGTTATCGGAGACCTCCCGCATAATAAATGATTCCACATACCTGGAAACGTGACGTATCGCTGCCGGCGTCCTGCTTCCCGGCTGCTGGAGTCCTCCGGATTTCACTCACTCACGCTTCTAACGCCGAATACTCGCGATTCGACTGTGCGGTTAATCAACGCGATACCGACGCGATGCCGATTGAATATCTCGAGGACCGACGAGATATATTTCTTTCAATTATACGAGAAGAAGTTACGAGCCCGTCGTGCACGGCTGCTGCTGATGGAAAGAGGTCGAGTACGCGAGGCAAGCAAGTATTAATACGAAGGGCAAAAAGTGTCGTCGCTCGCGAGCCGATCAACACAATCGGCGCGATGTAAACATTGCGGGCCTCGGCGGCGGTTGAAGCAAGAGAGACTTGCCCTTGGGCATCTTTTCTTTTCTCGAAGGTTCCGGGACCACGAGGGGAATGCGAGGAGGCCTTTCAACTGTACGCGACATTGATTTACTACTTGTTGATTACTGAAAATAAAGAAAATTATTCTGTCGAAGCATCGGATATTTGTTAACTTTATGTTAATTAGAAAGGAATGTGTACGATTATAAAATATGTTAGCAACTAATTGTACAGAATGTTAAAGTTGTTGTAACGCCGTTTTCGGAGAATAATTAAAGGTCATGGTAGCGTTAAAGAGTGGAATTTCATCTCATGCGAATTTTGTCTCGTTCTTATTAAATGTTAGATTATCCGCTGCGGACAATAACTCTTCTACTTTTCATCTAATATTCAATGATAATAAATAACATTTAATTGCATTCGTTTGGCTTTTTTATTTCGAAAATAAAAAATATATACTAGGGTGAGATTTCATCCATGACAACATCAACGTGATTTTCTTTGATGCTTTTTTCAAAAGTTCTAGTATTTCGTCGATTCGCGAGATATTTATAATCGGAGTCTCGTCGCGTTAATTAATATGTGCTCCTCCGAGCGGATCGAATGCTCACCAACGGCCACTGTCAGTGCCACGAGCGAATGTCCGGAGCGGACGGGATGCTGAATTGAGAAGCAGAACGAAGAGAACGGGACGCGGGCAACGATACATTATGCGTCTCCAGACGTATCAAATCGTTTATTATACAGGAGACTTTGATACGGCAACATGTATGTAGAGAATTTAATATTTAATATGTACTTTTATTTTTCCTGCTCCTCCCCCTCGCCCGCTCTTTTTAAACCTCCGGACATAGTCTGACATAGAGATAGTAACTACGGTTGCAGCACGGACATAAACCGCCTGAAGGTGGATGTAGCACGGACTTCCACCACATGCAGATTTTACCACCAAGACCTAAAAGTGGATGTAGCATCGTAGTTCTCCTCTCCAAATGGATATAGATGGCGCCCATTTCCAATGCGAAAAATCGGTATCGCCGAAAGCGCCGTGTTGGCCGCTCTCAGCTTCCTCTCTGGTACTACATCGCACTACATTACTTGAGCACGATAAGTAGTCAGGCTTATTTCCTTGCTAAAAAGCACTTCTCGATTGATTTTGCAAGCATTCTCGGTTGGTTTTTATAAAAGTAAGCTCGCTTGCTTTTACACAAATTAAGCGTATGTTGATATTTAAAAAATTCGCAGGTTTATTCAAGCATCGATGTAAATTATGTAAGTAAATATACTCCATTTAGCTACGCGTTCCAATGTCGATATATCAACAAGCATTGATGCCCATGTATATCCACGAATATCACGCCGAATGTGATATGTAAATTTGTGAATTTAAGAAGAAGTATTGACAATTTCATTATAAATCGCAAAAATGATGATGCGAGTATCCTCAATTATTTGCCGACAAACGATATTAAGAGCAAACGTAATATCGCAGGTAAATATAAAAATAACATTCTAACCTAAAGTTTAAAGAAATCAGATTTCTTAGCGGCAAAAAATATTAATCGATGAAACGGTATCACATGAAGAAAAAACAATGATAACATCTTTGACCGAAACATAAAATAAACATAACAATATATATATTTAGTATACATTAGCGCGATCCAGAAGAAATTCTCTTAAATACAAATTACGAATTACACCTTCAAAAAATTTACTATAAATTACATATGTATAATGAGGAAAATAATATCTTTATATAAAGAATTTTATATCAAATAAAGTGTAGGATTGATTTAATGGGAAATTCTTTGACTTAGGAAATGTCTACATGTAGATATATTCATTTAGTCAGACAAATAAAAGGATTTCCCAAACGCAATTCTATACTAAATCTCTCCAGTAACTATAGAGTTACAGGAATTCCTTTGGTTCGTTATGCTAGCACTAATGAAACGCCACAAGAACAAATTTCACCATCATCACAGACTAATCCATATGATGAAATACCAGGTATTTAGAAACCTTAGGAGACTTAAGTTTAAACTAATATTGTTTTGCCTTTCTTAATATTTTATCAGAAGATATATAAAAAAATGTTTAGTAGTAATAAATAAGTTATACATAACATTCTTTTTATTATTTGATAAAATTTAGTTATAATTAATATATGAGAAAAAATTATAGACCAGAACTTGTTACTTTATTACATATTAATTTGCAATTTAATTATATAGATCCTCCAACACTAATTCAGGAAATAGTAGAGAATATTATAAAAGTACATCCTAATGGAGAACCAACGCTTGAAAGTATTGGATTAGGTGGTTACTCTCCTGTTGGACTTGTACAACATGCCTTAGAATTTATGCATATAAGCTATGATATTCCATGGTGGACAACAATTGTTATAGGTTTTTCGCTTATTATGAGTTTATAAAATTGAATCACATAAAAATTACATTAATCTAATAAATGTGCTAATATAATTGCTAATCTTAATTTTAATATACTTATTAAGGCAACTTTTTAATTTAGGTACTGTTATTTTAAGGACCCTTATATTCCCTTTGGTAGTAATAACACAAAAAAATATGGCTAAATTCACTAATCATATGCCAGTGATACAAGAAATACAACAAAAAATGACAAAAGCTAGGCATATCGGTGATCACTTCGAAAGTATGTAAATGCAGTTTAATAAAACATTTTAATATTATTATACAATCACTACAATAATGATCAGTTACTATGACAGTGACTGTAATGACTTATAAAAAGATTAATGTTGAATCCTTATAAATAGGTGCACGATATGCATCAGAACTAATGGAATACATGAAGAAGCATAATGTTAAAATTGGAAGGAATTTCTTGATACCACTTGTTCAGGTATGCAATGCCGCTATATAAGTATATGCAAAGAAATAAGAAGATGAAACTAAATAATAATTTCCTAACTCTGAATTTTTAGGCACCTATTTTTATCTCCTGTTTCTTAGCCCTAAGGAAAATGGCAAACTTGCCAGTCGAGAGCTTGAAACAAGGTGGTTTTTGGTGGATGCAGGATCTTACCATACATGATCCTTATTACATAATGCCAATAGTTACATGTGTGACAATGTATATCACAATTGAAATTGGTGCAGATGGCACTCATCTTAAATCACTGGGTGTTATGCGATATGTATTTCGAATCGTACCCTTTGCCATATTACCATTTATATTAAACTTTCCTGGTGTAAGTATGATAATACTGAAATTGCTCTCATGGTTAACAAAAGGAAAATTAATTTGATACCATTTATTTGTAAACAAATGGTATCAAGTTAATGCATTACGAAACTTAGTTTTCATTTTACATATTCTAGCAAATTTTTAATATTTATTTGTAGGCAATTTTGACGTATTGGGCGTCGACAAATTTTATGTCCCTGATACAAACTAGTTTATTAAAGATACCATATTTAAGAAAGGTTTTCAATATACCTGTTATAATACATCATGCGTCAAAACCTGGGAATAAAAAATTTACGCAAGAATTAAAAGAATGTAAGTATATATATTATGTTATATTATATAAAGAGACATACTAATATTGGAAAAGTCGTCAATGAAATTTTGCAACATGGAAGTAAAAATCGTTTAATATGCACGTTTAAGTATTTTAATTTGATTTCAACTATGTACAACATAGAATTAATCAATAATGTATACATAAGTGATATTGGATGAGATTAAAAAATTAAATATCTGTTCTTTGTATAAAAAATATTAACTGTATGTATTATTCTTATTTTATAGCTTGGACGAATATGAAAATATCGAAGCAGCTAGCTGATAGAGAAAGAGCAGATATAGTACAGTTCAATGCTGCTGGAAAGGGCCCTATTGTGAAAACATTTAAATATGACCCGACAAAACAGAAATAATCGACTGTTTTTACAAAAAGTAGACATTAATTTCATTAAAAATAAAGGTGTCGTATTTAAGTAAATACTTGATTATTTAATGTGTGACACTGTATATTAATTCATAATTGTAATAAATAAGATCTTATTTAATATACAGTATGCTTCCTTTGCAATTAATTTATTTAAAAAAATATAAGATATTACTTATTATACGTGATACAAACCTAATAAGAAATTTTTAATATTAATTTTATATATATACATAGTTTATAATTACTAAGTAGATAAAAAATAATATAATGCACATACATCTTCAAATAACATAATAAAGAAAATTTATAATACTGTATGTGTGACTATATTATCAAATATCTATGTGAAACAATTTCACTAAATTTGGATAAAAAGAATAAAGCGTTTCCTTAAAAATTTATTATTTTATTGATATGTACTTATTCTAATCAACAAATATGTATATTAACTGTACAAGGAAGTATTTGGAAGCTTTATTCTCGTCTTATTTTTTATTGAAATTGATGTTCTTCTTCCGGACTAAGTGATCTTTCGACACTTTGTTGCGTAACAAAAACACTTTGCGTTTTCGTTGTAAGGTTTGCTTGTGTCACTGTTGTGTTGGTATGGCTGCTAGTAGGCATACATACTACAACCAATTTCGGCGCAGAACCCGGTATATGAGTTTTCTGTTGGCTGACATTGGCTGTTTGCGCCAATTTAACTTGTTGCTGTTGCTGCTGTTGTTGTTGCTGTGTTTGCGGCTGCTGTTGTTGTTGCTGCTGCTGTGACTGTTGAATCGCACCAGTACTTATATTGGAAGCAGTAGGTGTCTGCGAACGTGATTGTAAAATGACAAACTTCTGTCCACCAGTGGTAGAAGTTCCGCTAGCAGTTCTGCTTGTCCCGAGCATAATCGTGCGACCGGTTTGCTGACCTGGACTTGAACTGGCTACTAAAATTTAACACAAAAACCATAAAGCTAGCATCTTTACCATATTTATTTATATATCTTTGTACGTATTTAAATCTATATGTAGCTTTAGTCGACCATTTTGTTCTGTATAGTTTGTCACTTATATTGTGTGTGCAACTTTGTTAATTACAGCTGGTTTACCTGTTTGCACAAGCGTCTTCCCTGTACAATTCAAACTTTGTTGTTGATTTGTAGTCAATGCTGTAGTTGTTGCGGCGGTAGTTGTTAAAGCGGCTAATTGCGTACGAGCTTTCGCAACTGCTGTACATAATGCGGGACCTATATAACCATAATCCTGTTTATAATCCTCTACGTAATCTGGTGGCGATCGTATTGTTTTCAAGACTGGAGCAACTGATTTCTGAAAGTTTCCAGTTTTATGATATATATCATCATTAACATAAAGTAAGGCACAAAATATAATCGACATTGCGAGAGATATATATCGAGTATTAGATGCATAATTCTCCCTGAAATAATATATAAATCAAATATCTTAATTAATTTCTAAAAATACTTACTATAAGCAAAGTCTTGATATGTCCTGCCGCATTTTTATCCATATTAGTCAATCCCTGGCCCTCAATACACAATTCGATACGATCAGAGATGGACTTGATCTTAGGGATAACCAAGGACTTGATTACTTCTGGACCTAATTCACAAAGCCCTTCAATTGCTCCATAAAGGGATGCTAATGGTATCTATAATATTTCACTGTTTAGCATCAAAAAACAGTGTTTTAAGTTATGTATTAAGTTATGTGACTGTTACCTGATTGTTCTTTGCTAATGCTTGACTAAACATACGAGTGACTCTGGTTTGCACATTATTAGTAGAAGTATTAAAATTTTTACATATTTGTGACATCAGTCGAGAAGCAAAATCTCGTAACGCCCAGTGATTGTCTACTTCCGGCTTCATGCATAATTGTCGAGAAACTATGCAAGTAGCAACTGATGGTATCAACTCGTGAAGCTGAAGATTGAGATATTGTTATAATAAAATACAACAATGTTAAAAGTAATAAGTCTTAAAAATGTTAAAATCTTACATATTTCTCCAAGTAAAGACTTGGGTTTTCAAGAAGAGCTTTGACCATTCGCATGAGGTAGATAAGTAAAGCAAGGTGATTTTGAACCACATTAACTCGCACGCCTTCTGCAATAAAGGTGCACATACGTGCCAGCATCTCGTGCAGGCCTGGATCTGCTGAAAGAGACTGAAGAGCTTCAGCCCTGCGAGCTTCGTCGGATCCGACGCAAGCCTCAGTTATTTCTTTATAGTACAACTGTTGTTCTACGCTAAGCTCATGCGTTGCAAGCTGTTTTACATGTACAGTCTCCACATTCCGTAGTTTCTGACTCTTGCCACCACCACCTGGTTTACCAATGCCAATATTCTGGTTCTTGTTAGAGAGTTTGATAGTTGGATCGACACTTTCAAGTTTTTGGACATCTATAAAAATTAGCAAATTAACTATTTTCATGTATTCTAAGATTTTTTACAAACTCATTTTGTAAATAACATTATAAAGAGATTTAAAATAAAACCTTTTGATACTGGTGGTGGGTTTTCTGGTATAGTAGGTTGTACTCCATCAATGGATAACCAATGAGATCTTAATGTAATTTCTAGAGGCAATTTGGGCCATGTTTGTCCACCAGTTGTAGATACAACCTCATTAAGATCGATTTCTTTTTCTTCCACAAAATGTAATTCTCTACCACCACCTGATGCAAAACGGAATGGTATATGATCCTTGGAATAAAATCCATATGTTGGTTCAATGTTCCTGACTTTTAGAGCATGATCAATATCATAAGCAGTCATTCGTTTACGTTTACCATGTCTCATAAACTTTGCGGCATCCTATAATATTAATATTGCAATTATTATATAAATATCAATGTTATTATCAATGTTATAAAATATTATATTAATATCAATGTTATATTATAGTTAGTTTTATAAAGAATTTAACTGATTACGAAATATACAGAATACTTTATGTAACTAACCTGTACGATCTCTTTCAATCTGTAACTCACATCTTCTGCAAGATCTTTTGCAGCTTCATCCGGAAAATTACCAACACCAATGCTTTCTGCTATAACTTTGACAGATTCTTGAGACAATGTTGTCCCATACATGGACTCATTTTCAGTCATTTTGAAACTATTTTGGGGATATCACATTCCATAAAAGTATTAGAATTTTATTTTACAAAATAGCAACAGGCTTCTGCAGCTTTCTGTAGATTATAATACTATAGTATAGTATAATATATATAGTGTAGTATAGCATAATAATATAATAATCCCATATATCATAGTATTTATATTTAATATTGAGAAATTAATATTACAACAATACAAATTATATATTAACACGTTCATTGCCAAACTGAAAATTTGAATTTCGTGTGGTGACCAAAGTTATTTTTTCTTTTATTTATTTTTAGTCTTTTTTTGCACGATTGAACTGGCATTGAACTGAGTCTTTTCGAGAGTCCTGGTTTGTCACTCATAATAAAAAACAATCGCGTGAACGGCCGTAACACGTGTATATAGCGTGAACGGCAATGAACGTGTTAAGAGAATATAAATAAAATACTGCAATAATAGAGAGTAATCTGCAGCAAAATAAATAAAACTTTCATATCTAGTTATTTAAATAATTAAAATAATACTTATATGCTGTTTTGATTAATAATTGTTAAATATTGAATATCTTAACTGACCTTCAGTGGTTTCGATGGTTATATTGGTTGCATCACGTCAGTACATTGTTAAATTTTTCATAATTATTATTCACTAAACAATTAATTAACTGCTCTATTACAGATACAACTACAATTCATAAAAAAAAGAAACAGCTTATATATAAATGACGCTAAAACTCTTTACAAGTTATTTCCCCTGCGCTTACAAGTTCCGCACAACACTTACAAGCCGGTCGGCCGGTCCAGAATGACCAGAATAGGTTGCAAACACATTGGCTGCATTCAGCAGACTCAACAGTTGGACAACATTACTAGATTTACTACTGAATCTCGCTCCTGATTGGTCAATACTTCTGGGTCTATTAAGAATCTAAAAGAATGCTCCAATCACAGACAATAATCACTAAGCGCTCATTGATCATATTGTTCTACTGAACGCAGCCATTGGCCCATATTCAGAACACGCTTGTAACTATTGGTCTGTTCTTTGTAGCTGCACTGCTGAACTAGTGCAATAAGCTAGAGTGAGAAAAGCTATATTTGTCTCACATTAATTTATTGCACCAGTTCAACAGTGCAGCTACAAAGAACAGACCATAATTAGGGCGCTGTTAACCAATGAAAAGCCACGCAATATGCCTTCTGATTAGTTAACAGCGCACTAACATTTGGTCTGTTCTTTGTAGCTGCATTGTTGAACAGGTGCAATAAGTTAAAGTGAGACAAATATAGGTTTTCTCACTCTAGTTTATTGCACTAGTTCAACAGTGCAGCTACAAAGAACAGACCAATAGTTATAAGCATGTTCTGAATATGGGTCAGTGGGTATTTACGATAAATCGAGTTCGAGTTAGTTCCACTAGGACTGAAAGGTATGATAGGCACGACCATCTACAATCTTCATGATTTATGACAACTCAATGCTGTCCGATAAATCGAGTAGAGTATAATAGCCTAAAGCCAGCGACACACGGTGCTTGATTTCGTGCTGGCTGCTTGCTGGATGAAAATATTGTGTTCTGATTGGAGCATTTCCATCCATCTTCGGAAATATACCAATCAGAACGCCGTATTTTCATCCAGCAAGCAATCCAGCACGAAAACAATGCACCGTGTGTCTCCGGCTTAACTTAGCAGGGTTCATGCGAGACAATCAACAATAATTTATATGTCATCAGCAATACATATTTGTATTATATTTTAAAAAGAGAACTTTCGTTCTGTAAAAATAGATAAAGTGAAAAGAATACTCATAATCTGGTGCCATTTCTGGCACCAAATTATAGTCCTCCCAAAACCCTACATTTTGCCGTAAATGACGACACTCTGCTCCCAGTAGAAGCGGAGATATCAACGGAGAAAGGTTGGAAAACTTTAATCTTCGATATCTCCTAAACGGTTAGAGATACAGGCCTGGCTCTGGCACCAAAATAAAGTCCTCACAAAACCCTATATTTTCGACTACAATGACGACTCTCTACTCCCAGTAGAAGCGGAGATATCAACGGAGAAAGGTTGAAAAACTTTAATTTTCGATATCTCCTAAACGGTTAGAGATACAGGCCTCGGTCTGGCACCAAATTAAAGTCCTCTCAAAACCCTATATTTTCGACTACATGGACGACTCTCTACTCCCAGCAGAAGCGGAGATATCAACGGAGAAAGGTTGGAAAACTTTAATCTTCAATATCTCCTAAACGGTTAGAGATACAGTCATCGGTCTAGAACCAAAATAAAGTCCCCTCAAAACCCCACATTTTCGACTACATGGACGACTCTCTACTCCCAGTAGAAGCAGAGATATCGACGGAGGAAGGCTGGATATCGACGGAGAAAGGTTCGAAAACTTTAACCTTCGATATCTCCTAAACGGTTAGAGATACAGGCTTCGGTCTAGCACCAAAATAAAGACCTCTCAAAACCCTACATTTTTTAGTACATGGACGAATCTCTACTCTCAGTAGAAGCGGAGTTATCGACGGAGGAAGGCTGGATATCGACGGAGAAAGGCTGGAAAACTTTAACCTTCGATATCTCCTAAACGGTTAGAGATACAGGCTTCGGACAGGTACCAAATTAAAGCCCTTTCAAAACCCTACATTTTGGACTACATGGACGACCCTCTACTCCCAGTAGAAGCGGAGATATCGACGGATGAAGGATGGATAACGACGGAGAAAGGTTGGAAAACTTTAACCTTCGATATCTCCTAAACGGTTAGAGATACAGGCTTCGGACAGGTACCAAATTAAAGCCCTTTCAAAACCCTACATTTTGCACTACATGGACGACTCTCTACTCCCAGTAGAAGCGGAAATATCGACGGAGAAAGGTTGGAAAACTTTAACCTTCGATATCTCCTAAACGGTTAGAGATACAGGCTTCGGACAGGTACCAAATTAAAGCCCTTTCAAAACCCTACATTTTGCACTACATGGATGACTCTCTACTCCCAGTAGAAGCGGAGATATCGACGGAGAAAGGTTGGAAAACTTTAACCTTCGATATCTCCTAAACGGTTAGAGATACAGGCTTCGGACAGGTACCAAATTAAAGCCCTTTCAAAACCCTACATTTTGGACTACATGGACGACTCTCTACTCCCAGTAGAAGCGGAGATATCGACGGATGAAGACTGGATATCGACGGAGAAAGGTTGGAAAACTTTAACCTTCGATATCTCCTAAACGGTTAGAGATACAGGCTTCGGACAGGTACCAAATTAAAGCCCTTTCAAAACCCTACATTTTGGACTACATGGACGACTCTCTACTCCCAGTAGAAGCGGAGATATCGACGGATGAAGACTGGATATCGACGGAGAAAGGTTGGAAAACTTTAACCTTCGATATCTCCTAAACGGTTAGAGATACAGGCTTCGGACAGGTACCAAATTAAAGCCCTTTCAAAACCCTACATTTTGGACTACATGGACGACTCTCTACTCCCAGTAGAAGCGGAATATCGACGGAGAAAGGTTGGAAAACTTTAACCTTCGATATCTCCTAAACGGTTAGAGATACAGGCTTCGGACAGGTACCAAATTAAAGCCCTTTCAAAACCCTACATTTTGGACTACATGGACGACTCCCTACTCCCAGTAGAAGCGGAGATATCGACGGATGAAGACTGGATATCGACGGAGAAAGGTTGCAAAACTTTAACCTTCGATATCTCCTAAACGGTTAGAGATACAGGCTTCGGACAGGTACCAAATTAAAGCCCTTTCAAAACCCTACATTTTGCACTACATGGACGACTCTCTACTCCCAGTAGAAGCGGAGATATCGACGGATGAAGACTGGATATCGACGGAGAAAGGTTGGAAAACTTTAACCTTCGATATCTCCTAAACGGTTAGAGATACAGGCTTCGGACAGGTACCAAATTAAAGCCCTTTCAAAACCCTACATTTTGGACTACATGGACGACTCTCTACTCCCAGTAGAAGCGGAGATATCGACGGATGAAGACTGGATATCGACGGAGAAGGTTGGAAAACTTTAACCTTCGATATCTCCTAAACGGTTAGAGATACAGGCTTCGGACAGGTACCAAATTAAAGCCCTTTCAAAACCCTCATTTTGCACTACATGGACGCTCTCTACTCCCAGTAGAAGCGGAGATATCGACGGAGAAAGGTTGGAAAACTTTAACCTTCGATATCTCCTAAACGGTTAGAGATACAGGCTTCGGACAGGTACCAAATTAAAGCCCTTTCAAAACCCTACATTTTGGACTACATGGACGACTCTCTACTCCCAGTAGAAGCGGAGATATCGACGGATGAAGACTGGATATCGACGGAGAAAGGTTGGAAAACTTTAACCTTCGATATCTCCTAAACGGTTAGAGATACAGGCTTCGGACAGGTACCAAATTAAAGCCCTTTCAAAACCCTACATTTTGCACTACATGGACGACTCTCTACTCCCAGTAGAAGCGGAGATATCGACGGAGAAAGGTTGGAAAACTTTAACCTTCGATATCTCCTAAACGGTTAGAGATACAGGCTTCGGACAGGTACCAAATTAAAGCCCTTTCAAAACCCTACATTTTGGACTACATGGACGACTCTCTACTCCCAGTAGAAGCGGAGATATCGACGGATGAAGATGGATATCGACGGAGAAAGGTTGGAAAACTTTAACCTTCGATATCTCCTAAACGGTTAGAGATACAGGCTTCGGACAGGTACCAAATTAAAGCCCTTTCAAAACCCTACATTTTGCACTACATGGACGACTCTCTACTCCCAGTAGAAGCGGAGATATCGACGGAGAAAGGTTGGAAAACTTTAACCTTCGATATCTCCTAAACGGTTAGAGATACAGGCTTCGGACAGGTACCAAATTAAAGCCCTTTCAAAACCCTACATTTTGGACTACATGGACGACTCTCTACTCCCAGTAGAAGCGGAGATATCGACGGATGAAGACTGGATATCGACGGAGAAAGGTTGGAAAACTTTAACCTTCGATATCTCCTAAACGGTTAGAGATACAGGCTTCGGACAGGTACCAAATTAAAGCCCTTTCAAAACCCTACATTTTGCACTACATGGACGACTCTCTACTCCCAGTAGAAGCGGAGATATCGACGGAGAAAGGTTGGAAAACTTTAACCTTCGATATCTCCTAAACGGTTAGAGATACAGGCTTCGGACAGGTACCAAATTAAAGCCCTTTCAAAACCCTACATTTTGGACTACATGGACGACTCTCTACTCCCAGTAGAAGCGGAGATATCGACGGATGAAGACTGGATATCGACGGAGAAAGGTTGGAAAACTTTAACCTTCGATATCTCCTAAACGGTTAGAGATACAGGCTTCGGACAGGTACCAAATTAAAGCCCTTTCAAAACCCTACATTTTGCACTACATGGACGACTCTCTACTCCCAGTAGAAGCGGAGATATCGACGGAGAAAGGTTGGAAAACTTTAACCTTCGATATCTCCTAAACGGTTAGAGATACAGGCTTCGGACAGGTACCAAATTAAAGCCCTTTCAAAACCCTACATTTTGGACTACATGGACGACTCTCTACTCCCAGTAGAAGCGGAGATATCGACGGATGAAGACTGGATATCGACGGAGAAAGGTTGGAAAACTTTAACCTTCGATATCTCCTAAACGGTTAGAGATACAGGCTTCGGACAGGTACCAAATTAAAGCCCTTTCAAAACCCTACATTTTGCACTACATGGACGACTCTCTACTCCCAGTAGAAGCGGAGATA